GCTTGTGGGACCAGATCCACAAAGAGAAGAATCAAAGGGCGAGCTCGCATATTGTCACACAGTATGTAAAAATAAAAGAAGAGAAGAAAATTACACAAGGAATAATAATAATAATAATATTTATTCATGAGAGAAGAATTACCAAGTTCAGCTTCGGACCTGGTCAAAGCCGGCAAGGGATTGTGGGACCAGATCCAGCAAGGGAAGAATCAAAGGGCGAGCTCGCATATTGTCACACAGTATGTAAAAATAAAAGAAGAGAAGAAAATTACACAAGAAATAATAATAATAATAATATTTATTCGTGAGAGAAGAATTACCAAGTTCAGCTTCGGCCCTGGTCAAAGCCGGCAAGGGATTGTGGGACCAGATCCAGCAAGAGAAGAATCAAAGGGCGAGCTCGCATATTGTCACACAGTATGTAAAAATAAAAGAAGAGAAGAAAATTACACAAGAAATAATAATAATAATATTATTTATTTATGAGAGAAGAATTACCAAGTTCAGCTTCGGACCTGGTCAAAGCCGGCAAGGGATTGTGGGACCAGATCCAGCAAGAGAAGAATCAAAGGGCGAGCTCGCATATTGTCACACAGTATGTAAAAATAAAAGAAGAGAAGAAAATTACACAAGAAATAATAATAATAATAATATTTATTCATGAGAGAAGAATTACAAAGTTCAGCTTTGGACCTGGTCAAAGCCGGCAAGGGCTTGTGGGACCAGATCCAGCAAGAGAAGAATCAAAGGGCGAGCTCGCATATTGTCACACAGTATGTAAAAATAAAAGAAGAGAAGAAAATTACACAAGAAATAATAATAATAATAATATTTATTTATGAGAGAAGAATTACCAAGTTCAGCTTCGGACCTGGTCAAAGCCGGCAAGGGATTGTGGGACCAGATCCAGCAAGAGAAGAATCAAAGGGCGAGCTCGCATATTGTCACACAGTATGTAAAAATAAAAGAGAAGAAAATTACACAAGAAATAATAATAATAATAATATTTATTCATGAGAGAAGAATTACAAAGTTGAGCTTTGGACCTGGTCAAAGCCGGCAAGGGCTTGTGGGACCAGATCCAGCAAGAGAAGAATCAAAGGGCGAGCTCGCATATTGTCACACAGTATGTAAAAATAAAAGAAGAGAAGAAAATTACACAGGAAATAATAATAATAATAATATTTATTCATGAGAGAAGAATTACCAAGTTCAGCTTCGGACCTGGTTCAAGCCGGCAAGGGATTGTAGGACCAGATCCAGCAAGAGAAGAATCAAAGGGCGAGCTCGCATATTGTCACACAGTATGTAAAAATAAAAGAAGAGAAGAAAATTACACAAGAAATAATAATAATATTAATATTTATTTATGAGAGAAGAATTACCAAGTTCAGCTTCGGACCTGGTCGAAGCCGGCAAGGGATCGTGGGACCAGATCCAGCAAGAGAAGAATCAAAGGGCGAGCTCGTATATTCACACAGTATGTAAAAATAAAAGAAGAGAAGAAAATTACACAAGATATAATAATAATAATAATATTTATTCATAATAATAATAATAAATAATAATAATAAATTTTTTATTTCACGTATTTCATAACAACATACAAGAATGCGGGTCCGTCGAAAGCCAAAAGAGGCTTGTGGGACTGGACCCAGCAGCGGCGTGAAGAAAATCAAATTCTGACGCTTGATTACAAAAAACAAACAAAACACTTAAAAAAAACAATTCCAAGACTATGCATAAATAACTCTTAAAAAATTACTGACATGTAATCATACACCACAATAAATACACTAAAGGGGATTAAGAACGGATGGCCACGGAATACACTCTTTGACCACAAAAAATCTTCTATTCAAGAACTGGGAAGTGTGAAAACAAAAAAAAAGAAAAAAAACACGAGATGCACAAAAAGGACATGTTCAGAAGCAGGATATTTAGCGAATTGTTTTTAGTTGTTTTTTCAACTGACGCTTTGACCTGAGTTCCAAGAAGGACTCTGACAATGTATTGAAAAGTTCAGGGACATAGAAAGAGCGCATACGTTTTCCATACTTTGTGTATACACGAGGAATGAAAAATCGTTCACTTTCTCTTAAGTTGCGCTGCAGGACACGGGGCGTTTTGAAAGGGCTGTGCCAATAGTGTTTGTCAATTACACATCTTTTATAAAGTGCTGAAAAACGCGGGAGACACAACGAAGAAAACAACTCTTCACTTGGCAGATCAAAAGAGGTGTACGCTACGCTTTTTAAAAGACTTTTTAAGATGCTATCTATTTTGTGATACCAGAGCATGGAACAATTCGCATAAATAGTAATTCCGTAACGTAACAGGCCGTAGGCTAAGGCATTGACTATCATTTTTCGGACAGACAGCGGTAAAAACGTTTTTGTAGTATATAACATACAAGATACACTCCTTAACTTTTTGGCTATGTAGCTGAGGTGTGAATTCCACGATAAATCGCTATCAAAGAAAATGCCTAAGTACTTTGTTGTGTTTACATATTCAAGAGAAATACAGGAGCAGTGAGTACATTTCGACGAGTGCAATATAAAAGGAATATCAAGGCTTTTGCGTTTCGACGGACTACTGAAACACATAATTTTTGTTTTCTGAACATTTATTTTAATAAGATTTGCTTCGAACCAGTCCATAACTTTGGTCGAATTCTCTTGCAATGATACAGTCGCACTGCTCAGATTTAAGTGTCTAGATACTAGCAGCGCATCATCAGCGTACTGATATATTTCGCACCCGGATATAGTTTTAGAAAGGTCATTGACATATAAATTAAACAAAAGGGGGGCTAAAACAGAGCCCTGCGGTACACCAGCTTTCAAAAGCACTTTGGCACTCCGGCTATCACACACGGAAACTTGCTGTGTGCGGTTCGTTAAAAAGTCTTTGAGTAAAGAAAAAAATGGTCCCCTGAAACCATAGTCGAATATTTTTTTCATTAGTATCTTTTGGCTAATGGAGTCGAATGCCTTTGAGACATCAAGAAAGAGGGCACAGGCATATTTGTTATTTTCAAAAGTTCCATGCAAAGTGTCCACGAGTTCTTCGAGTAAAGAATCTGTTCCACGTCCAGCAACAAAGCCGTACTGACACGGCGATAGCATATTAAACTTTCCAAGAAACGCGGTCATTGTTCTGAAAATATGCTTTTCTAGTACTAATGCTAAACATGGTAAAATCGAGATAGGCCTATAACTTTCAACGCTATCACGTGCACCACCTTTGTAAAGGGGCCGAACAATGGCACTTTTCAGGCCACCGGGAATGATACTAGAATTTATAACCCCGTTTATGATGTATAGCAAAACTGTGCTCAGCGCTTCAAAATTACGTCGTAAGTCGCTGAGACGAATATTATCTGAGCCGGGCGCCTTATTGGGTTTAAAGCTAAACAAAATCAAGCGTAACTCTTCGATTGTCAGGTTCGGTAAAAATGCAGAATGTAAAGAAGGACACTCTAGATTAGTCGGGGTCACGGTTTCGTCGCGCGCTACACCCGAGACTGAAGCAAAGAAGCGATTAAATTTATCAGTTATAGATGACACATGTGCGCCAAAGTTTTTTTTAATCGTGTCATCGATCGACGATTTAGACGAGCATCCCTTCACTTCGTTAACCAGGGACCAGGTTTTTGCGACGTCATGTCGGGAGCGGAAAAACGTTTCATTAAAGTGTTGGCGCTTCTTAGAACGTACAAGGGCATTTACACGATTTCTAAGGCTTTGGTACTGTAACCTTAGCTCTTGGTTTTCAGGGAAACGGCGACATCGTGCCCATAAAGTATCTTTTTCTTTGATTGCAGAAAGAACATTTGACGTTAGCCAAGGATGATTTTTCCGCCTTTTTCTTATCGTAACATGTTTTGTGCTTTGATCTCTAAAGTTCAAAAGAATTTCACAAAGATTTAAGTAGGCACCATGATAATCATTGTTCTCGATTAAGGCATTCCAGTCATAAGTGGAAATTAGACTGTCAAGACGACGTGAATCGACAATGTTTACTTGTTTGGGTTGTTCTACCTTCTCAGGAGCGACAGCGAAATTAATTCGACAGGCCACGAAATAATGGTCCGCTAATTTCTGTGCGATAACGGCGGAGTCTACAGGTACCCCTGAATTTCTAATGTTAATATGATCAATGCATGATATAACGAGGTTGCCAGACATATATTCTTCTCTGGTAGGGATGTTAATAAGGTTTTCAATACCATGATTTGCAAGAATATTTAAGTAATTGCAGACAACAGATATCGATGGCTTCAAGATATCAATGTTCAGATCCCCTACAAGACACAACTTACCTGTAGGCACCATGTTTCCTAGAGTCATGTTCAGTTCATCTAAATAGTTAGAAACATTTTCCGATGGGGGTCGATAAAATGCCAAAAAGGAAATAACAAAATCACCTTTACTGAGTTTCAAAGATAGACACTCTGCATAGTTAAACGATACCCCCGACTCCACTGCTAACCAAGATTTTTTAACATACACAGCTATCCCTCCTCCCCTAGATGCACTACGCGTCAGAAAGAACGCCTCAAATTCGGGAAAAGAAAACTGACCGCGCGAAATTCCAACGTCCCAAACGTTTATTTCTGTTAAGACAAAAACGTCGACAGTATTTTCAAGTGCATGCACAACTAGTTGAAACTCATCCCAGTACTTCCTAATACTTCTGATATTTATATGTAAAACGGTAAGTGCGCTAGCACTAGGTGGAAAGGAGTCAAGAAACGAAGGAAAATCAGCGCTCAGTATTGTGTCTTCCATTTCTACACCATTTTTTCTAAGTCTCTAGCGCTAGCGATCCTCACCACTAATGCGTTTTCGTCCTTTTTCGCGAAGATTGTGGCATTTTTCACCCAAACGAATTTGTAAGCTTTTTCCCTGCCCTTAGTTCTCGCCTGCCAGAAGAGGTCCTTGTTTGCTCGTGTAAGGTTGTCATTGAAATATACTTTTTGTTGGCTTACGGACCGAGGAAGCGTGGCCAACTTCTTCCGAGCACTCATCCACTTTTCTTTTACAGACGTCGAGTAGAACTGAACCAAAATGGGGGCCGCCCCCTCGCGCCTCGAGCGCAGGCGGTGGCAAGCCACCACTTCGGCAGGATGGTGTCTACCGATGTTCAGTTTCTCGGCAAGGTCTTCGATAACTACCTTCACATCTTCGTCATCTGTGATAGGAATGCCATGAATTTCCATGTTGCACCTCCTACTGTATTGTTCAGTGGAGTTTAGGTTTGTCTGTAGTTGTTCGATCATAGAAGTTTGATTGGACACTGTGGCTTGTAGCGCTCCAACTTCTGATCGCAGTAGTTTTACTTCTTGATCGTTCTGCTGAACAAGCTTCATCATGGATTCACATTTGCGAACAGAATCTTGAAGACTCGAGATCGTTACCTTCATTGCATCAACAGATGGCTTCAATAACAAAAGGTCGTCTACTTTTGCCGGGAGGTCACAGAGCCGGTCCACGTTTGCTTTCAAAGTGTGAAGAAGCTCAAGTTTTTGGCTTATTGCGGCAAGTTGCGCGGACACGGTATCTTCATGCGATGCTGACGCAGCCTCCTCGCTGACGCCTAATCTGCTTTCACGCAATCGGCACGTGCGTCAGACACATTTTTCGCGTTTCCCGGTTCCCATTGATCTGAAAGTTCTGTCCGAAATGCCGGAGCAGGCATCAAGATGATATACGTGATTACAAGAGCAGCCTTTCATAAAAGCCCCGTCAGTTGGTACAGACGTAAAACATACAATGCAATCTGTGGTGTTTGCATTAGCCATGACTTAGACAAAAATACTTTCAGGCACAGACAAAAATTCAGTTCCCAATAACAGATTTCACAAGAAGAAGCTTTCAATACACCAAAAAGAAATATAATTCAAGTCACATTTGTTGCAGTCGGCGGCGTACACAGAAACAAAAAAACTAGGAAATTATGGCTATGAAAACAAGACTCTCACCTGCCAAAAAACGGCAAAGTTAGTTCTCTGTGGGTGACAGGCCGCCGACTGCGCCGACGAAAGGCCTCGGATCCGTTCTTATGGGCGCCAAATCCGGTTGCCCGGATGATGAAATGATGCTCGTCCACGTGGTCCTGGTCTTTGTCGACGCACGCTGCGTCAGAAGTCCCTCACGCGCCGGCAGCTGGGAGCGACGATGACCGCGCTCAAAACCAGACAGTGCCGGTACGGTGGAGGCAATCTGTTCTGCCAAAAAACGGCAAAGTTAGTTCTCTGTGGGTGACAGGCCGCCGACTGCGCCGACGAAAGGCCTCGGATCCGTTCTTATGGGCGCCAAATCCGGTTGCCCGGATGATGAAATGATGCTCGTCCACGTGGTCCTGGTCTTTGTCGACGCACGCTGCGTCAGAAGTCCCTCACGCGCCGGCAGCTGGGAGCGACGATGACCGCGCTCAAAACCAGACAGTGCCGGTACGGTGGAGGCAATCCGTTCTGCCAAAAAACGGCAAAGTTAGTTCTCTGTGGGTGACAGGCCGCCGACATGAGAGAAGAATTACCAAGTTCAGCTTCGGACCTGGTCAAAGCCGGCAAGGGCTTGTGGGACCAGATCCAGCAAGAGAAGAATCAAAGGGCGAGCTCGCATATTGTCACACAGTATGTAAAAATAAAAGAAGAGAAGAAAATTACACAAGATATAATAATAATAATAATATTTATTCATGAGAGAAGAATTACCAAGTTCAGCTTCGGACCTGGTCAAAGCCGGCAAGGGAGTGTGGGACCAGATCCAGCAAGAGAAGAATCAAAGGGCGAGCTCGCATATTGTCACACAGTATGTAAAAATAAAAGAAGAGAAGAAAATTACACAAGATATATTAATAATATTAATATTTATTCATGAGAGAAGAATTACCAAGTTCAGCGTCGGACCTGGTCAAAGCCGGCAAGGGATTGTGGGACCAGATCCTGCAAGAGAAGAATCAAAGGGCGAGCTCGCATATTGTCACACAGTATGTAAAAATAAAAGAAGAGAAGAAAATTATACAAGAAATAATAATAATAATAATATTTATTCATGAGAGAAGAATTACCAAGTTCAGCTTCGGACCTGGTCAAAGCCGGCAAGGGATTGTGGGACCAGATCCAGCAAGAGAAGAATCAAAGGGCGAGCTCGCATATTGTCACACAGTATGTAAAAATAAAAGAAGAGAAGAAAATTACACAAGAAATAATAATAATAATAATATTTATTCATGAGAGAAGAATTACCAAGTTCAGCTTTGGACCTGGTCAAAGCCGGCAAGGGCTTGTGGGACCAGATCCAGCAAGAGAAGAATCAAAGGGCGAGCTCGCATATTGTCACACAGTATGTAAAAATAAAAGAAAGAAGAAAATTACACAAGAAATTGTCAGTGCTCCCTCACGACGAACGCAGTTAGCCGCTGGGCCAGCAGATCAGTCGGAGCGCTAAATAAAAGAAACGGCACTCATCGGCGCGCACACACACACGTACACTTGTACGTCCGTATTGAAGAAAGGCGAAGCAGAACGTCGGGACGAACAGACCTAGACTGTAGGTACAAATAGTGTAGGGCACTAAAAAGAAAAAGAGTACCAACGAAAAAAAAAATTACTGGGCAAACTCGCAGAGGTCGTAGGGCCTCACGATGATGCAATAATAATAGTAGCAATAATAATATAATAACAATAATTTAACTGTTGTGTAATGATCTTGCTCTGGTTAATGCTTGGGAGAGAGTACGTTTCTTAGTAGGCGGTATATGTCCTTGAATAAACGCATGCCGGGGAGCACACGAAGAAAACTTCAACCAAAGAGAGCGTCTGTTTATGATACGTGGAGCACTGCGTGACACGGATTGCACGAACATGCGATCGCCTGTATTTTCTCTCTACTATCCTCAATTCTTGTTTTTTTTTTTCTTTTTTTCTGAACCGATACACTGTCATGAAAACTCGTGTTGGTGAAGTTGCTAGTTCGTGACACTAATCTATAAGCAGTGATAGATTGCAGGCGAGCGGGTAATGAATGGACATCCTCTAGACCCTGAGATGGGGAACAATTAAAAGGCGGACAAAGACAACAAAACCTCAAACGCAGCTGAAATTCATTGATTTGATAACATAAATAAATAGACTTCCAAACACTTGTACCAAGAGAAAGGGTAAGAAGGAGCTCAGACGCATAAACAAGACGATCAACGAGTTCGTCCCAGATAGAATAAGCCATTCCCAGGCACCCCACTTTTGGAAGGGGAACCGCCACCCCGACAACTACATCCCCAATGTCCACCACACAATCCGACCTCCAAACCTCTAAAGCCTAAGCTCAAATTCCTACTCCCAAGAAACCGCTGCCCCCCCCCCCCCCCCCCCCCCCCCTACGGCCGTTAGGTTTAACGGATTCCATGGGTTCCGCTCCCGCCATGATGTGCCTCCCGGCAAGTGGATCCCCATTCAAGTGCGATGTATACGCGTGTAGGTTTTGCCGTTTGCGCTTTTGTTGCCGTGAGGAGAAGGTCGGAAAACAACCATTTTGTGATTTGATGCTTTATTCATGTAAGAATTAGCAAACAAACCGCCCATTTACGAACGGCACTCATTTATAAATGGGGAATCACTCAAAAACGCCCGACGTCCGACATAGCTAGGCGGCCTTGTGCGCATTTATCAATGGGTAAGTTCGATTGTCTGGATCGCTCCCCGACTGTTTACCACATCAAAAGGTTTGTGCACCATTGTACGGAATACGGCGGACCGATCGTCATTCTTCTTCACCCGCCGGTCTTTTGGGTTTTTTTTTTTCTTTTCTGACATTCTTTGGTTTGCTGTGAAGAAGCACCGTCGGCATCGCGTTGTACTTGAGCTTTTTGGAATTAACAACCGCTTTCGAATTCACTGTCTGCAAAGTGCACCTCAAAAAAAAAAAAAAAGGCATGGCACGTAAGTATTTACTACGCGTATTAAAAAAAAAAAAATAAAGATATCGCTAGCAAACAAAAGCGCTTGCTAGACGGCAAAGCGCAGCTACGAGGCCGCTTCTAAAACCTCGAGCCTAGAGAAAGCTACGAGAGCGAGCTGCATGCTTTGAACGTGCCGACGGAGCGCGTGCGCTCGTACAGTGCACGCGTCCTTCAGCGCGACATGCAGGCGCTTGCAGAGATCGGCTCCGCTCGCACTTATACAGAAGTACAGTATATACACAGTTCAAAGTTCGCAAGCTAGGCCGCTCGCAAGTATCAGGTCTTGCGCAGCAGGAAACGGCTTCGTGATCAACGGACACTCACCTGACGCTGCCGCGTCAAGTCGCTGCACATGCAGTTTTAGTCAAAACAAAACGCGTTTAGCTCACAAAATAAATTCATTATAATATTACCTCGCACCATCGAGAACTCGAAGTCGGCTTCCACTTAGCCCCCTTTGCTTTGGCCTCCCGGATCTTGTGCCTTGCACGGTTTTCTGTTCCTTGCGGGAACCGGTACATCCTGAACCTTTTCTTCGTGCTGTTCGAGCACCCAACGGCACTTCAGCACCCCATTACGTTTTCTCCTAACATCTCGCGGAGCGCAGAAGAATCATTTTCACCGACGCCTCTCGCTCCACGCTAGTCAGACGGCTGCCGGCTCGAGACGACAGGGCACATCATGGCGGACGACGAGACTCGGAATGCAATGCGCACAGTTGCCAGACTGTTCAATCAGTGCTGCCAGACTGGCGGCTGGATCAATAGACCGCCGAAGTCTCCCAGTATAAAAGGCTCTGCCCCCCCCCTCCCCCCCCCCCCCCACCGCCCAAAGTTCAGGAGCCCCCTCACACACGCAAAAACGCTTTCATCCTACCGCTGATAACCAAAGACGGGAGCCTTACACAATTCGCCCGCTCGCGAATGCACAAAGTCTCCTTAATTAGCCTTCTAAACGATCCTTTTCGTTACACAGAATGGAAGTTTCGTCCAAAAGAGTGGAGCAAAAATTACACGACCCAAAGTGATTAGCAACTTAAGAACTCTGGACCTTATTGTTTACACTTCTTTTGTGTTCCGTAAGGCGGTCATTCGAACAACGTCCTGTCTCTCTAACATAACACAACCTGCTGTCGAAATATAGACCACCTCTGCGACAGAGGTGGCAAAGGGAACTCTAGGTGTTTTCCCGTAACGTCCCTTACGTTCGAAGGTAAACAGGGTGTGCTTGTCCAAGCGAAAGTCCGTTTTAAAAAAACACATTTACGTTAAAGTTTGCCCCCAACGATTTTAGGCCATGAGAAATACCATGAAAATAAGGAATGTGTTGGTCCTTAGGGTTGTTGTTGTTCGGGTGGCGGTTCCCTTTCCAAAAATTGTGGAGCCGGCGAGTGGCTTAACGTGTCTTTGTCTGGGTATAGAACAGGTTGATCGCCTTGATTATGGGTTTGAGTTCCTTCTTTGCCTTTCTCTTTCCCCAAGTGTTTTGAAGTTTATTTATTGGAGTGCTCAAACCAAACAATTTCAACTGCGTTTGAGATTGTGTTGTCTTCGTCCTTTTTTTTTATTGTTCCCCATCTCTGGGTCTAAAAGATGTCTACTAATCTATGCTGTAAAGTTGCGGGAGAAAAAACATTATTGTAGCTTTCCTGCAAGCAATGTAGCGCAGTGTACATCTGGAGCGATGGACATCCCCATGGTTCGCTTGGCTTCGATCGGTGATGGCTCAACCATTGCTGTGCGACGACGACTCTTACTCGGCGACTATAAAGCTCGTTATGCCTATTGCATTGTGAGTATTGTTGACGATCTTAGAGGACACAGATTTATTATTTATTTA